AATTTGTACATGTAGCGTATTTCTTCTTTAATCCTAGCTAAAAATCAAAATTTAGCAGATTTTGATAAAAATTAATAAAATACGTGGTTAAAAAGTTGATAAAAATTGTTAATCCCATTAAATGAGTGGTTGAATATTAATTTGAGAAAAATTGAGTTTTAAAAAATGGGGACAAACCGGACCAAGTGAAAATATTTTCTATTTGTTCTTTCTTTATACCATAAAGAATGCCTCTAGCTGCTTTGCCCCCAAAATAGCCAGCTTTTTTGGTGCCAAGCATAGTTGTGTTCTAAATATGCAAACTATAAGTTTCTAATAAGTAAAAGAAAATTAATTTTAAGTTATTATATTTATTCTTACCTAGAAAATATGTTATACACACACACACACATCAAACTTGTATTCCAAAAAGTAGTTCCTCCGAGGTATAGTCTAGTGGTGCAAAGGACGGGAGTGAGGTTATCTCATACCTTACTGGCAGCCGTAGTGTGGGGGTTCGATTCCTGAAATATGGAATTGGACTACTTGTAGGCATAGTGTACAGACAGCTCTTGTTCCTTGACCTGTTGTGACACATCCCGCGATTTACCTCCCTCACAAAGCTTTAGGAGCGGAACGGTGGGGGTCTTCAAAATTGGGGTTTAACCTTTTTTTTTTTTTTTTTTTTGTATTCCATAAACTAGTTCCCATGACTATTACATCTAAGAACTATTCCGTCCTTTCACATTACTATTTATTTTTTTAGACATTCTTATGAGGTTACAATTCAATTACAATTCAATTTTTTAAGGAACAAAATTGATGTTTGAACAATTTTGAAAGGTTTGTGATTGGCTGTAATCTTGTGTATTTGACCAAAAGGTTTAAGAAAAGAAAAACTGTTGGCAAAATACATTGTTTGTGTCGTTAATCTTGATCTGAGAATGTCTTTATCACGTGAAAAGTTGTACAGAGAATAAATTATAAAATACTCAAACAAAAAAAAAGTCACCAATCGCTGCAATCCATTTTCCCTTTCACATTACACAAATTTTGAAAAATGTTGTTGGAATTTTCAAGCATCCAGCTTTGACATTGGCCATGTCCCAACCAAACTTCATCAGAGAAGAGGGAAAGATGATTCCCTCACATGATGTCTGACATTGTCATATCTGGCCACGACTTCTCCTCTTTTTGATGTTTCCAACATTCAAACATCAACAAATTACAACAAATCGACCATTAATCAAATAGACCATTAATCCTACTTGGATAGTTGGATGTGTTCGGTGTTAATTTAGCCTCCGTTCCATTTTCATTCTTTGGCCACAAAAATAAAAAATAGACCGTTATTCAGCATATCAAGTTATCATATTTGACTTTCTATCTCTTGTGTAGGTCCCTAACGACTATATTTTTCATTATCATTTTTACAAAAATGGATACCAAACGGGACCTTAATAAAACAAAAAAATTTGAGAGATGTTGAGGTGACAGGTATGGATAAAAGAATTTCCTATGTTATACTATACAAGTCTCGGCGACGAATTGATTTGATAGCTCAAATATTGTTATTCATGATATTGATCAGATTCAAAATCGTCGAGAGGTAATTCATTCATTGAATTTACCTGTTTAAATCAAGGGTTGAGATGCATGCAACCTCAGTATCCGTCAAAGAAGAAGTCATAAAAATTGTATAAATAGCAGGGTAGAAATTTAAAAGAATTTTAGTTCATACAAATGATGTAATTTCGAAAATAATATAAGTATATTTTAAATGAAAATATAAAACAATTTTAATAATCGTAATTAAATCTTATGTATCAAAAGTCTTTTAAAATTTAAAAAAAAAAAGTATGAAAACCCCAATACGAAAATAAATTAATGGTTTAAGAGGATCTTTAATATGATAATGATTTCACCCATAAACATCCATCGAATTAATGCATTAACAACATGTATTATTAAAAATAATGATGTCAGAATAACCATTGAATCTTTCCAACTGCCTTTTGTTATTACTTTATTTGTTAACTAAGTTCAAAGTTTAAAAAATTAATTACTCCAAACCACTACACGAAAACGCAAACGCACGTCTTTCCATTGATGAACCCTTTGCGCGCGCACACTCTCTCTTTTGTGCGCAATCGCATACAATCATTGTATGCTATAATTAGTCTTTAATGACAAAAATCATTTAGTTTTCATGAAATTGTGGTGTCACTCAAATGGATGGAAGTATCACTTTATATATCTATGCACTAGTTCGAGTTGTGAAGAAAAACTTAACTTCAAAAAGTTTGAATGCAATGGCAAATGCAATGATTTACTAGAGATTTAGATGTTTTTCATTATCAAGAATTAATTATAGAAATCATAATAAAAGGTTGAGAATCGAGTTATTCATTTTAACAGTCGTCGAACAACTTGTTACTAGACCGATGTCACATTGTGACCCCGTAGGGTTTGATAATTATTATATGGGTAATTGGCACAAAACGTCCCTACCTTTCATTTTTTGGCATTTTTGCCCTCATTTCAACATTTCTTTGCGCTGGACGTCCTTCACTCCATATTCCGTCAGTTTTTCCGTTTTAAAGGGTAATTGGCACAAAACGTCCCTACCTTTCAAGTTTGTTGTGGAAAACGTCACTACCTTTCATTTTTTGGCATTTTTGCCCTCATTTCAACATTTCTTTACGCTGGACGTCCTTCCGTTCATATTTCGTCAGTTTTTTCGTTAATTAAATACAAAAATAGATTTTTCTTTCCATAAACAAGGGTAAAATTATCCTCACCCACTTCACCCCTTTTTCCCGCCATCAACTTAGTCCATAAGTAACAGTAGCAGCAACATGAATCTGAAAATACTTTAAATGATTAAGTTAAATAAAGAAAAAATATCGTGAACAAATTATATTTCACAATTCCACAACTACTGTTGCTGTCATCTTGTGTCACTGGAAAAATTTAGAAAGACATATTAAATGGATAGTTAATTTATAATGAGCCAAAATGGTGAATGACTTTTTTTGGCTCAATGGAGAGGATGAATGACTCATTTTAAATTGACTCATTATAAATTGACTATCCATTTAATGTCTTTCTAAATTTTTCCAGTGACACAAGATGACAGCAACAGTAGTTGTGGAATTGTAAAATATAATGTGTTCACGATATTTTTTTCTTTATTTAACTTAATCATTTAAAGTATTTTCAAATTTATGTTGCTGCCACTGTTACTTATGGACTAAGTTGATGGCGGGAAAAAGGGGTGAAGTGGGTGAGGACAATTTTATCCTTGTTTATGGAAAGAAAAATGTATTTTTGTATTTAATTAACGGAAAAACTGACGGAATATGGACGGAAGGACGTCCAGCGCAAAGAAAGTTTGAAATGAGGGCAAAAATGCCAAAAAATGAAAGGTAGGGACGTTTTCCACAATAGACTTGAAAGGTAAGGATGTTTTGTGCCAATTACCCTTTAATTAACGGAAAAACTGACGGAATATGGACGGAAGGACGTCCAGCGCAAAGAAAGGTTGAAATGAGGGTAAAAATGCCAAAAAATGAAAGATAGGGACGTTTTTCACAATAGACTTGAAAGGTAGGGACGTTTTGTGCCAATTACCCATTATTATATTAATCTAATTATTCTAACATTTGGGATTGTGGGGCTCACAACCCCCTTTTTTTTGTTCAACTTATCAGTAAAAATGATTCCTTACAGATCACTCATTCACTCACATTCATTGGAAGGTATTCCTTTATGGGGTGCACGTGATTCTTTATGCATCTTTTTCTTTTCATCCAATCCAAATAGTGTGCAGCAAGCATGAATATATGCCCTCTGTATTTCTTTTTAATCATCTTTCTAATGTCAAGCTCTATTAGAGCTCATGTTTTGCTAAGCATAAAAAATTGCTCATAAGATCTAGATTAAATAATTTTTTAGTTGGTCAAAGAAAATAAGTGAGTTACTTCTTTCGAAGACGACTCTTGCCCTCCAATCAAGTAACTTTATCACTTCTAATAGAGTAAAACTGAATATATTTGGAAACAAAAATTTACTTAGAAGTAAAATAGATAACAGATTAAACTTAGCGCTTGTTTGTTTTCCATATTAATAAGTTTTTCAATAGCTGATAATGCAATAGCCACCTTTTTTTGACTTAGTCTCTTACAATGGGACCCATTTTTAGGAGGACAACATCGTATAATGCATTATAAGGTTGAAAAATGAAAAAACAAACAGGCGCTTAGTATCTAATGAATGAATCATTTTCTTCACGAAGGCACGTTGAAGATATATCACATCACACTCCAATTTTTCTCGTATTTTTTGGGGAGGAGGCATACTTGGATGGTGCATTTGATTTCTATATTTTCTTTAAAAAGACCCATTTTTGAGGAGTGGTTAATCATTATTAATGTGGAAGTGAAGATACAGCATCAACTCACTTGCATTGAAAGGTCACATACTAACCTTATAGATGTTGTTTACACATTGGTGTTAGTCAATTCACCCCCGTGTTGGTGTTAGTCAATTCACGCCCTTGCCGACTTGAATGCTTTAGTGTCAACTTGTATATTTTGACGACGATAATGTTATTTGTAAGAATTGTTTATCTATCAATCATCTATGTGACGGTAAGGTAACTGTCACATTTAAGTTGTGATACATTTTAATTCATTAGAGAATGTAGGAATTATCCATTACGAAAAATATTCCTAATGTCTAAGTATGACTTCTAAATATGAGTAATGCCATTCAATCCTATAGATTAACTTAAATGCTTGATCACATAATTCATTTATTTTGATTTATTAAGTGCGACCACCAAGACGGTACTAAATAGCATTATTCTACCAATAGTATTACATTGTTTGACAACTCTACACATGTAGAGAATCTTGTGGAAAGTCAGGCTGGGGCAATGTGTGGTGGATAGGCCGACATATGGGAACACTGAATTCTAATACCTAAGCAGAAAGGATAAGAAAAAGGAAGCCAAATGGTACTTGGAATTTACTTCACTCACATTTAGACTTGCAAGATTATACAGAACCAATTTAAGAATGAAAATGTAGTTTCAGAGAAGAAAAAAGCTAGGTACTGAAATTAAATTTAAATTTGTACAGCTACAAAAGAAGACACAGGAAAAGATACAGAGAATAGGTAACAAAATTTTTCCTCAGCAGGCAGTACTAAAGTTTTAATTTTTGTACAAAACATCATGGGATGCTACCAGAATGTGATTGATTTCTTGCAAGTCTATGATTTACCATTTATTATATCACATTATATCACGATCGACAATGTCACGTTCACCGTTAACAGCTCAACGCCTCGTATTTTACTGGAATTGGACGACTAAACCCGGTCTGAGAAAGCAGATTCCCAACGACTGAAAGGTCTCTGCAAAAAACGCCTTGAAACACAGATGGTGGTGGAGTTGTGATGGTAGCCTTCTTTTCAACCCGATTATTACTGCTTAAATTAGGCACACCATGGGTGGCCTTTGTCACGGCTGTGGAGGACTTTTCACGAGCGTGTTGTGATTGCACAAAAGCCTGATTCACTTGCAAGGCAGCTGCAGCCTTCTTTCTTTCCTTCTCACTTGCTTCTTCATCCAAAATAGTCGACATTACACTTGTATAGGCCCTCTGAATCAATCTGTAGAGCAGCAATGCTGACATTTTCGCTCGGTCCTTGACTGAATCAATGTCCTGCTCATCAGCAAACTCGCACCGTTCAATGAAACTTGACGACTTATCCGGCTTGTGTCTTAGATTCAACAACAAATGTGCTCGTTCCAATTCTGATCTAGAACAACCGCATCTTAATCCAATCAATGCATAATAATCTACATTCCTGGTTTCACCAGCAGCAACCCTTTGTTTCAATTGCTGGATTTTCGCTGCTAAAGAGCACAACTTCCCTGGAATTTCCCTGTACTGAACATTTTGACGCTTCCATACCGGTCCAGGCAATTTCCTATCGCGCAACATTGAGTTGTATAATAGTTTCAAGTGCTCCAGATCATGAAGACTATCCGGTAAACATCTTATTGTTTCAAATAAGGTCGCTCTAATTGTAAGTGCCTCCAAACGAGAGGGATCCAATGCCAAGGTTCGATTACAATCTGCTATTGCCTCTGCTATTCGACCGGCAGATTGATAAGCCGAGGCTCGATTCACATAACAATCGGCCAAAAATCCCTGCGGGGCTCCACGGCGGCCATCAACAATTTTGGAGAAATGTCTAATGGCTTCAGAATAGAGCCCAGCGTCAAGGGCAGCAATCGCCGCCGTCTTGCGGCGGATGAGAAGCTTAATGTGGCTAAGCAGTTGGGAAATTCTTTCACTTTCTGTTTTTGGGAGTGTTTGGGGCTGATTTTTATCGCCGGAAAGTGGGAATCTGTTGAATGAAAAGCTGTCGTCCGACCAGCAAATGCTTTCACGGCGGAAAGCGGCGGTGGCGAGGCGTTTTCCGGTCTGGAGGAGCACCATTGCGTCCTCCATTAAGCCTAAATGGCAACAGGCTTGTCCCAAAACCAAGTACCTGCAAGGAAAATTTTGACAAGAAGGAATCAGTTCCAACCCGTTCATGGCTCAACCCAGTCAAATCGTTGAATATACGTAACGAGAAAAAAGTATTGGTTATGGGAAATTGTAATTAATTCAAGTTGCTATTAGATTTTGACTTTTTCTGTAATTTTTAATCTAATCAGGGGTTGGTAAATTGCATTAATTGCACGCAGTAGTTTGGCGTAATCTACAAGCCATTGTCTTAACTCGAAGAGATTGAGAAAAAGACAAAATTACCTCCATTCCCCTTCTTTATCGCCATTTTTACAGAGGCCAGCCATGACTTTCTTTTTCAAATCCGAAACAGAAAAGCACTTAAATGCCGGCTCATCACGACCCAGTGAGTCAGAGAGAAGCTTGACTCGTTCTCTCGATAGATGAGTGGAAGAGTTATCCGATGACCCGGACGAAGATTCATCATCCGAAGCCACCATTTTCAGGCTCGGAATGTAATCCTGTAACATATCGGCAACTTCCTTAAACCGACGGAGATAAAGCAAACACCGCGCCTTGAGCTCTAACGCAACCTCCATGCGCGGCGAAAGAGCCAACGCCACATCCAGAAGGCGTAAAGCTGCCGCAATCTCACTTTGCTCTTGCGTTGCAATCAACATTTTCGCCTCCCTCACATATCTCTCCACCATCTGCATTTCACGAATCAATTAATGAGTCAGTTCATGTGTAAATACAAATTAAACTGAATGACTTCAATGTTAAACATAAGCAATCTGATTTCATGACTGCGGGATTTGAAGAACCTTTTTATTGGTAAGCCACCAGTGCTTCTTTTCTCCACCGGCAAGAGATGGAGATGCGACCATTGCTGTTGTACAAGGATCAACCGTTAAATCCTTTCTCTCTCTATATATACACAATATGGCTGTTTATTTATATATGGTGTCAATACATCAAACAATCTTTATTTTGATTTTACAAAGAAGGGGTTGTTGGGAATTTTAAGAGTGAGAGAGAAGAAGCTTAAGGCTTTAAACAAGAAGAGCCAGCTCAGGCCTCAGGGAATCAAAGCTGGCACCACTCTCTTTCTCTCTCTCTAGATTATCAAGAGATCTATTGGCTATTATACGACCTACGCGCACTTCACAATATAACATGATTAATTTCGAATTAATTTCAAGTGAAATTTCAAATTGTTCAATAAAATATTTTTATTCCGTTTACTCTAAAGTTGAATAGTGTTACATAATTTGTGACTCTAGCAACATTCATTCCAAATATGATGTTGGCAGCGATTAACAATCGTTATATCTGCGTTATAAAATTTTATATCTTTAAAATGTAACACAATTTATAGTAGATAAAACATCATGATCAAATAATTAGAAACTTTCATCATAATTAGTAGTATAAAGCTTGTGACAATGCTGAAATAGAAGGTAAATAAGAAGGAATTTATCACTTTGCTCGTTGTTGGTCAATATGAAGGTTTAACTATTGCTACGTTAGATATGATATTAATCAGGTTTATGGAATGCCAACTATGCAACATAAGTTAATTGCAATGACTAAGTATGTATTAAAAATACGTTATAAGCCAGTTGGAAAATTTGCCTCAACTTCGATGACCATCACTGAAATTAACTCTGATATGATTTCGTTTGGTTTAGTGTGGCCTGGTTTTGTGCAATTTAATTCTAATAAAAATAATATCGAAGTGAGCATAATGAAAGTTCTATACATGATTTATTGGACAGTAAGACATTGAAAAAATTGAACATGAACTTGTTTTATCATAGAATAGTATTATTTGCAATCGCTCACTACTACAATCGTCTTACGTGGTATATATGTGACAGTTAGGAATTTGATGCATAAGTCAATAAAAAAATTACTATATTAATGCATCTAATCACTACCCGCCACGTGTATGTTACGTAGGACGACTATGGCACTGAGCGACTACAAATAACATTACTCTTTATCACAACTAAGGATGAAAAACATTAATAAGAAATGAAAGCATGAGCTTAATATGTGTGGATAATTCATATGTATAATAATAAATACTAATATGATCCAATGTTATTTATGGAGCATTCAAACGGCTGCAATTTTTTTGTTTGAAGGCAGGTGCAATATTGTAATGCGCTTTGCTAATTCAATTAATTTATTTCTCACAAGAGTATAGCCATAGTTCTCTCCAACTTGGAGTCCACCTCTTAATATTCTTTTGCTACCAATTTTAAATCTCGAGAATTGTTTCAAAATTTGAAACTTTTTCCTATTTTTAGCAACTTGATTGGGAGAACTGAACAAATTACATGCTTATTTCTAGCAAAGTCGTGTTAAGATACATTTAGTTTGACATGATTAAATACGTTAATAGATAAATATCTCATATATTCCTATTTCTTAACTATGTTCACTTAATTTGTCGTAGTCTCACTAAAAAAAAGTTGCATATGTGATTACATGTGTTTGACACAGCTATGCATAGATGGATGGATATATACAAGATGTAACGGTAAATAGCATCGTGTTCTACAATGCTTTTGGTCAACAATATTGAAAAATCGATTACTTCAATGGTAGTTGAAATACAAAAATTTCATTACGACACTTGTATGATATTTATTGTATAAATTTTAGATGTCATGTTAATTTTTAAAATAGCAAAGTCACAATAAAGCAACACATTTCAATAAAAATAGGACGTTAAAACATGTTTAATATGCAAGTATTGGACTGGACAACTCCTATGTAAATAAGGGCATATTTTTTAGGATTTCTGAAAAGTCAAAAACTGCTTCTGATATTAAGAAGTTATTTTCGGACTTGTTTAAATAATTGTTGAAAGTATTTTATCTAGTTTGAAGAATTTCTAGAACAAGTTTGCTCAAAGTGACTTTATCTTAAACTTTTATTACAAGAAGCAGTAATCCTTCCATACAATTTCCTATTAAAAAAAGGGTGGTGTATTTCGCTACAACTAATTAAATACTACGGTAAGGTGCAAGTGCAAATGGCAATTCTCATGCTTATTTTTATTTTATTTTATTTATTTATTTATTGACCTTTTGGAGATTGATCAAGATCAATGAATATTATGAATTAATGTGGGTAGTTAGCCGAATGGGTTTGTCTTAAAGGCTCCTCTAACTTTCTTTTCCATGGTGCGCACAACACTACACCAGTAAATGCACTCCACGCGTTACAACCTTGCCATCCCCTTTTTAATGCCCACGTCAGCCAGAAGGTTCGACAACGCAAGTTTCTACGTGGACCATTTGTGGACCCTACCATTATTGTACTGGTAAGTTGCAATGTCTAATGCTATTTATTTTCGTAGAGATGACCATACCTGTAGATAGACGTGCTATTAAATAGCGATATTAGCACCATGAATATTGATAACACCTGTCTACGTGACATTAATGAGGAGCACAATTAAGTCTCGTTTGATAATTATTATTTTAGAATTCCTTTTTTTCTCATACTTATACACATTCTCACAATATAATATTTTCTACGTAAATTCAAAATTTTTATCTACATTTTAAGCATATATTTTCAAAATAATTATTATTCAAAAACTCATTTTCTTCAAAGAAAACAAAAAGGGTATCAAACATGGGATAAAATGATTTACATAATTTTACTTTTAATTAAACCTATTACATAATGCATGTAGACAGGTGTTGCAAACAATGGTGGTTATATAAGATTATTTATTGAAGAAAGGGAAATAGTTGGGAATTAAAGGGATGCATCGAGAATGAATTTGACAGTTAAAAGAAAAAAGTAAATAAATAAATTAAAATATTTAAGCGATGAATTGGTCAATTTTTAAGTGAATCGATAGGTTTTAACAGTTGAATCAACCAACCTCGTGCATGATCCAGCCAACTTTGGATGGTTAAGTGGTTATATTGAAATTTTTTAGAATTTTAGTTTTACCATATAACTGGATCGATTTTGACTTGTCTATCTAAAAAAAGGTTGAACCCCAATCTTACGGGTCCTCCACTGTTCCATCCCTAGAGCATCGTGAGAGAGGTTAATCGTAGGATGTGTCCCAACAGGCAGAGGAACAATAGCTGCATGTACACTGGTGCCAACAAAGAGTCTCAATCTATGTTTCAGGAATCGAACTCTCAAACTGCGACTGCCAGCAAGACTAAGTATACCTTACCCTTGCCTTTTGCACCACTGTGATATGCCCCGAGAGGTTGACTTGTCTATCTATGTTTGACAATATTGGTAAATAGAATCGGAAAAACTGTCTTGATTTATTGCTTGAAGCAAAGTTTATTTCAACTTCATTATAGATGCACAATCAATATTTCAATGATGAAAATTGTCCAAATCTTTTTAAAATTGTCAAGTGACCTTCTTAAAAACATCTTGCACTTTAATTTTTAGGCACTAACGGAAGTTGAAAAGTAAAACTTAACTTGACAAAATTCAACATGTGAAGACCACAGGACAATATAACAAAGCTTTTAAATGGTTTCCAACTAATCAATTGTACAGCTATAGTAGAATAAAATTGAAAACATTAAAGATAAAGAAATACAAAGTGGTAGCTAAGCAATAATAACTTATTAATTTGCATAGTATTATTGGTTCAATGATTTATGTATTACCTAGGAGGACCAAATTATTTTTGATGGTGATGAAATTTAATAGGGACAGAATTTAAGAGCTGGTACTCTCAAATCATGCACACAGTATATTGGACCAAACATGTGCAGTACCATCCCTTATAATTAGGTTTGTACTTGTTATTCTAATTTATTTTCACAACTGAATTGGTATTATTTTCTTGTCATTCTAATTTATATTCACAACTGAATTAGTATTATTTTTTTTGTGGAAGTTGGCAAGGACAATTTTAGCAACTTACAGCAAGACAAGTGAAACTGTCATTTTAACAACCTAGTCTTGAAGGACCATATCCATGTATATATATATATAAAGAAAGAAAGATGAACTAGACAGGGCACCACTAGCTAATCAGGGTCCCCCCAGGCTAATTTTTAGCAAGAATTCGTATTACAGCTAAAGTTTCTCCCGCTTGGAGATAAATTAGACCCTATTTTGATTGAAAGCTCTTCATGGTCTACCCGCTTTTTCTTTGATAGATTCTTTTGAACGACTATTAAGCTATCAATTAATCACATATTTAGGACGTGAAATTGAATAGATTAATGAAAAAGGACATAGTTGGAAAATTTCTTAGTTGACCTATCCAAGTTTATGTTGTGATTGCTCGATTCTTGTTCTTTGGTGAAAAAATTGGTCTCTAACCCATTGTAAGGTTCGGCCCATCTCTCTATCTCTCTCTCCATAAAATTCTAGCGCGACATTAGTTTCTACTTAGTTAAAAGGCTAAATGCCACAAAACCCCTCAAATTTTTACTCCTATCACAGAATAACACATATTTTTTTTTCATTTCAGAGGAACACTCCCTATGACTTTTTAGAATACAATATTTTCTCCCTTTTTTTCAATAAAATCTTGTGAAATGATGAATATACCATCAACTTTTAATTAAAAAAAAGAATTAACTGTAAATGTAGTCTCAATTTTTTCAAAAAAGAGCAAACGAGTACCCATTAAGTAATTAAAATTTTCAAAAAATAAAAAAAATCTATTACTCTCCCACCTACCCCATCTTTCTCCTACTTATCGTACTTTAATCTAAATCCCAAAGAACCCAATATCTCAACCCCTCTTGATAATGAGTATATAGTTAATGATTTCATGTTTGTTGGGTTTTTGGGTTCTACTCGGGGCAGCATTGAGATTCAGAACATTGAATGGCGGAGTTTTAGTTCGTTCGTCGATGAAAATCCATTTCAACCCCTCTTGATTTTTGTTACTTCTAATTTTAAAAGGCAAGGTAGATTCATCTTTATAATGACATTTTGGCTTGTCAAACGAAGATAAGGGTAAATTTGTCCATCAGGGATTAAAGTGCTACTAAAATGAAAGGTTGGGAATGTAAATGCTCCATTTTAAGGTTGGGGACAAAAGTGCAACTAACATAAAAAAGGTTGGGACTCCTGATGATATTTACCTTTTTTAACGT